AAACTGCAGTCCACCCCGGATGAGAACAACTTTTGGGAAAGCAAGGCTATGTGAAATTCAATGGAAAAGTAAGCTAAACTCATATGATTGTGGGAAAATTCTACTACCAGTCCTTCATCACCTTACACAAAATAGGGTGAATACATCTCATTACCTTTTTTTCAGTCTAACTCAACGAGATTCGAGGCCGAGTTGTGTGCATCGTGGCAAAGCGTGACCACTCTGCCATACCGCCATTGAGGACACTGGGTCACAAGGCAAATCCACTTCCCCTCCTCAACCAAAAACAACATTTTCTAGTATTATTTTTAATTAATCAGATTTGTTTTGCCATTTCAATCGGTCATATTACTCACTCCCGAATGAGTATGTTTCTAAAATATCGGCCTTGGTCACTTTAAATGTTGTAAATACAGACAGTCGAAAGAAAGACACGTTAATGTTGCAACGTATTCGTTGACAATTGGCACGGCAACAACCTGACTTGAGGCTGAAGATTCCATTATCACTGTGCCACATGTGAAGTATCAGATGTAAGTCTCGTAGTCAAGCCTTTTATTCATTCACCACGTCTATGAGCAAACTTATCTACGAACAGCCAACCAGGAATGACCAGCGCCGTTTTTCTTGTTCTTCTATCCCTAATGCCAAGTCTATAACTTTCTTATTCCAGAGTCTCTTGTGTGTCGACGCCAAAATGTGATAGTTCTACTTGATTTGAATAGGCTCAATGTAGACGTCTCCTCTTGTTTTCCTATTGTTCATATCTGGTCTCCTTGTAATTTATTTTCCTATAATTAACAATACTACCTTTGTTCATTTGTCTTCTTTTTTGCTGATATTTCTGTTCACTGATCTTCGCTGAGTTTTCTTAGACAGTATGCATAATTTTCGTTAATTATGCCTTTTTTCAGGTCTATGTAGGCTTTCGAGACTACCGGTAGATCTGATATAAGAGATGTATGTATTCACCCTATTCCATTTGAGCTGATAAAGGACTGGCCGTTTGATTTGTCCACAATCGTGTGATGAGTAAATGTGAGATCTACTCACATTATTGGGAAAATGCGACCTCCAGTCATCATCACCTCTTAAAAGAATTAAAGTGAGCACGCCTGAATATGAATATTTTCATATGAAAGCAAAACCACGATGATAAAGTATTTTAAGATGAGATAGAAAGCACCTTTCAGTTTATCCTTCGGATTTGTGACATCCTTTCCGCTTTTGCTGTCTGACCTGAAATTCGACCTTCGATGGCTCCGTACCAACTGATAAGCTCTGCTTGAAAGTCCATCGCCACGTTGCAGAGTGGGCAGAGGCTCATGCTCCTGTTCAGGCCCTCCCGCCTTCCGACCACCTCCGAGAGGAGGCATCCGATCGGCATATTGTCTCTTTCCGACCTCTGACCCTTGTCCTACCAACGCCAGGCTGTTGTTCAACCGCTGACTAGAATTTTGCTGCTGTTGTTGACAATGATGGCACTGCTGCTGTCGGTGTCCGTTTCGATGTTGGTGCCGGTAGGGATGTTGAACAAGTTGTTGCTTCTGCTGCATCAGATGCAGCACAAGTAGCTCTTCCGACTTGAGCTTGGGGTCGCTCACTTTGGCCAACTTGGTCGTCATGTTTATGTCCTCGTCTCGGCTCGTCAGCGTTTTCGTCTCAGCCTTGCCGACCCGACCGAGTCCAGTTGTCGATGTTTTTACATCCCTTCCGGCCATTTCATCTCGATCTGAGCGGCTGCTGTTGCTGCCGCCTGTGGACGACTGCTCGTGCTTCTCGACGAAGCACCATTTTTGGGTGACGCCAATGCAGTCCGCCTCGGACAGTGGCCTCGGCGACAATTGGTACTCCGACGAGATTAACGGTTGAGTCGACGCAGCACCGTCACTGGGCTCATGTTGACGCTTTTGTGAAGATGCATGCAGAAAGGTGTTGTTAAGTTGTGTCGTCGAGGCAAACAGGCCTCGACTGGCAGCACAATAGGGCGTTACTTGTCGCCCTGGCAACGTGACCAATTTCATGCCTAGGCCTGTGGGATGGTGATGAGGTAATGGAGACGGCGAAGAGGAGACGGGAAGCAGTCGT